AATATAGTTGCAATGTATTCTCATAAATTTGTTAGAGAGACCCCAACAACGAAAGCGATGGACCACGCCGCAGAAAGCCATTGTAAGAGAGGTTTTTTTAAATTACATCAATCAGAAAACTTATCCTTCGGGTGAAGAGTGTAGAAGAGTCTTAGAACTAAATCCAGAATTACAAGGCAGAACAGTACCTCAGATAAAAAGTTTTTTACAGCACGCAGCTACCAAACATTAATTTCAGTGTTATTCTCTTGTTTCAATAAATCGAATAATTGTCAGTATTTGTTTTTTACATTTTACTCACCAGAGTAATACCTAAAATTCTGGATACATTCCAAAGCAAAGAATCAGGTTTTCTCTGTAACAAGAAACATTTTCTATGAGATTAAAAAAATCTGTACACGCATTCACTAAAATAAATTTATTCGTCGCAGTTAAAGCGATACTTTGATTCAAATTAATTAAAAGTACTTGCTACTTACAGAACAAAATACAAGGGACTGAAAGTTACTACAAATGAAGTCATTATTTTCATCTTTAGTACACTTTGGCCTCATATGGATTCATTCAAAACAACTTTCAGGCTCAGAGTCCAAGGAAACATTAAATTAGTATTCCCTTTCGCGCGGGAATGTGCTTATAAATGTTATAATACTTAACAATACTGCATGTTCGTTAAAATGGGCAGACTAGCCAAATACAAACAATATATAAGAGAATATTTCACAGTAAAAAAGAAAAATAATAAAAATGTTTATACATGTAATTTTTGCAACGGCAAATACGCAAAAAATTTCATAAGATGGCGATACACCTACTAAAATGTTCCAAGTCCATGCTAAGCAGATGCTAAGCAATATTCAAAGAAACGCGATTAATAGTATATTACATACCGAGTCGGGAAGGTAATGATTCCTCTCGAGAGAAAAAGATAGTTGACCGAGACGTAGTCGAGGTCAACTATTTCTCGAGAGGTAGGAATGTACCTTCACGACGAGGTTTGTATACTATTTTATTCACAATCAACTATTTAAATAAACACCAAAATGACCCCGTTTATGCCCATCAAAGATCTAAACTACGTTGGCTATGGAAACTTTAGTTGGTTGTGACTTTATCTGTCAAATAAGACAAAACCGCTGTGAAAACTTTTCTTTGCGTTTTTCTCTGATAAAATGGACAGTGATATGGAAAACGAGATGGGGTGTACTCCACCAGAGCTAAGGGAGGCTGCGGAAAGTGTTACGATGAATATGTTACTCGTAAAAAGCAAAGACCGGTACGAAAAAACCTACCGGGCTTATCGAGACTGGTGTAATGATAAAGGCGTTCCAAATATTGGCTCCGAAAACGTCATATTGGCTTATTTTGCCCAGTTGGAAAAAGACAAAAAGCCCTCGACGCTATAGGCACATTATTCAATGTTGAGGGCCACCTTGAACATAAAGGATAATATTGACATTTCGAAAAACGCCAAATTAATAGCGTTCTTGAAACAACAAAACATTGGCTATCAGCCAAAAAAATCAAGTGTGTTCACAAAAGAAAATATGGAAAAGTTCCTAAAAAACGCCCCATTGGAGTTTCTCCCCCATAAGGTATAAACTGTAAGTAACAACCAAAATTCTTGCATTAAACTATTCATTTTTCCAGGCTGCTTTGATTATTGGTGTCTCAGTCTCAGGGGCATGTAGAAGCGACGAATTCTTTAAAATGAATAAGAAAGATGTGGATGTACAAGAAGAAAAAGTAATCGTTTTTATTCCTCATACTAAAATATACCAACCACGATCATTCATCATAATTGAGAAAGATTGGATGCGGATTATAAAAGAATATATTCAACTTACATCAAAGGTGGAGAATAAGCGATTTTTCCTTCAAGTGCGGCAGGGAAAAGCTACAAAACAACCATATGGCCACAATTCAATTGCACAATTCCCCAAAAAAATTGCCACTTATCTAAATTTAAACAACGTGAATACATACACAGGACACTACTTTAGACGCACAGCTGCGACTTTGGTAGCGGACAATGGGGGAGACATCCGCGATGTGAAAAAATTAGGAGGTTGGAAGTCAAGTGCCGTAGCAGAGGGCTATGTGGACACTTCCTTAAACAGTCGGATTAAGATTGCAAACATGCTATCAACAAAATCTACCGAAAACTCCAGCTGCATTGACAATCCTGATTTGCCTGGCCCATCAACATCCACTCAGAAATTCAATTTTTCAAGAGAAAACTTGCAACAGGGGATTTCTTTAAACATTACAGGCCACGATAATGCCACCTTCAATTTCCACTTTACTGGACATTCTAATTCTAATAATAATGTTTAAGTTCAAATGCTGTAATTTTGTTATTTGTTATTCTTGTATTCTAACCCATTCTAACCATCTAACCTCACTTTTCAAAAAATACATAATTTAATACGAGAAACTGTTGTAAATGCACCCAAGTAAAGCTGGTTGCCTACCTTTTCAAAAGTGAAATTCTGATTTGCTAATCGAAAAATGTTAAATGGTATCATTTTTAGATGACAGTTATGACTTTTGATGTTTCAGGTCAGTAATAATTTCCCGACCAAGGTTAGTAATAACTTCCCGACCAAGGTAGTAATAAATCATTTTCCAACCTATACGGAGGTTGGGAAACTGTGTATATTACACTATGATTGTGAATAAAAGATGTTTTACTAGAGAAACTGCAGAAGTTGTTGAAATGAGTGAATGTCCACAAAGCTCTGGTTCTAGTGTCATAAGAGATCGTTTTCAACATCCTTTTTTATACATTCAAATAGAAGAAATCGGCTTATAAATCAGACTGTGGCTAAACTAAGTTACATTAAAAACAATTTATCATTGCAAAATAATATTTATGATTATGAGGATGACAATGAGAAATATCCTCAAATTGCAAGATGATCTAGATAATGATGCCGACATTGCCGAAGATAACATCAGCGTTGACGTTGATGAATCTAAAACAAATGAAAACTCAGATATGGAGGTAGAAGAAGCTTTCATACTGCACGTAGTTGATGAAGATCAATAAAACAATACTCTCTACTTTTGTTTATTTTTTTTTCATGGAGGAGAAAAATGTTTTATTTTCATATTCACATAGTTTTTTTTTTTTAAATAGAGTAGAAACATGTTTTATTTTCATATTTACCTAGTTTACTGTTTGTTTTTTTTTATAATAAATTCTTCGTGAAATGTATTGTTTTATTTTCTACTAATTAGTAAATCACCAGATGACGTTTACCATAAAGATAAAAATAAAAAATGTTGGCGCCAAAATTTGAATAATACCATATAAAATACCGTATAAAACGGCATTATACCATGGTTTTATAACGCAAAAATTAAATACAGTACTTTACATCACTAACCATCACCTTAGCCCGTTGCTAGGAATCAATTATGTACATAAAGAATCAACCATCATAGGTGATAGGTGCGTGATTGTGCGATCCCCGCTTTCACCTGGTATTTGGTGAGCCCTTTCCAATTGTTAATTTGCGAATTGGATTATTGTTATTCCTGTTTGATGGTGTTCATATTTTTGTGTTGATATTGGTGCATCTTTGGTTGTTTTCTGGGAATTCAGTACTTGTTTTCCCAGTAACAAAGTTTGGATATCAATTCGAGTTTTATCGTAATTTTTTTGCGCTGATAACGGATATTTTTGCGGAGGTGAAGTACTGTGGCATTATACTCGCCCCAAGGGCGAGTATAATTTATTGAATCTAAACAACATACGCCCAGTCGAAATGGAGACGCCTACGACTTCATTTCCGGAAAGGGATCAGGATATAGTTCTAAATGCAATTAAAGATTTAAAACTTATTGATTATGTCGTGGCTGTAGGGGATATAGTTGCGCCTAAAAATGTCATATTCGCGTCCCATATGTCGAACGATAGAGTATGTATATATTTAAAAGAAAAATCATATGTTGACTTAATCATTTCAGATCATCAAAATATTGTCGTTAAGGAAAATGCAGTCAGTGTGCGCCGGCTTATAAACCCCGCTAAACGTATTATCTTTTCTAATGTGTGTCCTTCGATCCCTCACAAGATTGTTGAGGATCTCATCAAAAGATTGGGTTTTACCTTAGTATCTAATAATTTGAGAGCTGACATACAAAACAGTGAATATAATCATGTTTTGAGTTTTCGTCGTCATGTTTATGTCCAGCCTAATGATTCAGTTGAACTTCCATCTTCGTTGATATTGAAGTATGATGACACGAACTACCGTATTTTTCTAAATTACGACGACGTTTGCTTTAAATGTAAGCAGGTTGGTCATTTCGCACAAGAATGTCCCTCAACCTCAGGTACTTCAGATACTTCTTCTCCCACTATTTTACAGGCAAATGACACTTCACTTGAGAAGTCGAATAAGAGATCTAATAGGGATGTGGACAAGGACCGTCCCGATGACGAAGAGGAAATGGAAGGTTTTCAGCCTCTAGATCTGAGTAAAGAGTTATCTTGTGAGGTGGAGAATGTTTTAAGCTCTAGACAAACCAAAAAAATTAAAACTAGTGACTCCACTGAGAGTTTAACATCGACCTCTGATTTGATCCAGCCCGCTAAAGATTTAATAGATAACGCCCAGTACCCGCTAAATTTTGAAGAGCTAACCCGATTTGTGGAGAAAGCTGTTGGTGAATTGGATATCTTAGAGTTAATACGAAAATACACGACTGACGTAGAAGGGGTCTCTGCTATGCTATTCGATATTTTTCCGCTGCTTACTCATAATAGCGTCCGCAATCGTATTAAAAAAATTAGAGTTAAAATTAAAAAGGCGCTTGCTAGGCTTGCAGATAAAACATGTAATAAAGCTACGAATACTGTGGCTGGCCCCTAATAGGGATTCGATTTCGTTTCTTTTCTTTTTTTTTTTCTTTTCAAATTCAGTTTTCAAAATAATTCATCTGTTAAATATTTTGTTGGCAATTTAGTATACACTAATATAGCTTCCCTGATGGCAAAATATGACGACTTCTCTGTGCTGGTGCAATCTTTGAAACCGACTTTTATAATGTTGTCAGAGTCGTGGTTAAGCCCTGCGATTCCTGATACATTAGTGGCTATAAACGGTTACACTCTTTTTAGGAACGACCGGGACGGCAGAAGGGGTGCCGGTGTGTGTATCTTTGTAGCGGACTTGATTTGTTCCAGTTTCACAATTAATACCTTAAGCTCGGAAGTCGGCAATAATGAAGCACTATTTCTCAAATTATCGAACAGTAGTATCTCATTTGTGTTAGGATGTATATACAGACCCCCAGACTCTGCAATTGGTGATGATAGAAAACTCTTTACGTTTGTGTCAAAAATTGCCGATAGCTGCGACAGACTGATTATAGCGGGAGACTTTAATTTACCTGACATAACCTGACCTCTTGATCATAACGCTAATTTTGACGCTCCTTCCCAGTTGTTGCGTGATGTACTGATAAACAGTCATCTAGAGCAAATTATTACTAAACCGACCCGTTATAGAACGAACCAAACACCGTCAACCCTCGATCTAATTATCACCTCGGACGATAAGTTACTAGCAAACTTGGATTATCTGGATCCTGTTGGTAAATTTGATCACGTGGTGTTAAAGGTAGAAGTGCAAATCTGTTTTGAAAGACGAAGGAAGATTACCTCTACTTGTAGGGTTATTACGAATTATGAGCTGGTCAACAGAGATCTGTTCAACACTGACTGGTCCACCATTCTTGTGGAACCATCTGTAGAAGACAATTGGACTAGATTTAAGAAACAGCTTAATTCTGTGGTGACCAAACACACAGTTTTCGTAGTAAGAAAACAGTCTTCAAATAAACCATGGATCACCAAACAGATTCTCAAACTTATTAGAAAAAAGAGGGCGCTGTGGCGACGTTACAAGCGCACTGGTAGTGAGAGTGATTACAAGGCACACAGAGTGTTTTCAAACAAAGTTTCTGCTACTATAAGAGATGCCAGATGCAACTATGAGAAGCGCATTGCTGCTTTAAAAGATGTGAAATGTTTTTACAAATACGTGCGGTCTTCCTTAGTTGGGCCTGTGAAGACCCCTCACCTAAGAGACGTAAGTGGACGTGTCACTGAGGATAGTCAATTGGTCGCTAATTTGTTTGCGGGCACGTTTGCTAAAGTTTTTACAATTGACACAAATTCTAATCTCCCTACTGTACAGACACCCCCAAATTCCACAACTATTACTTCCGTTGAATTCTCTGAGGTAGCAATAGCTAAAAAGATATCTAAACTGCGCATAACCAAATCTCCTGGACCAGATAGCATTACCGTGAGTCTTCTCAAAAAGTGCCAATGTTTGTGCCAACCTTTAAAGATTTTAATGGAGCAGTCATTTGAGTCGGGGACTCTACCTCTTGAATGGAGGTCCGCGGTGGTGAAACCCATATATAAAAAGGGTGATAAGTTTGTTGCTGACAATTATAGACCTGTCAGTTTAACGTCTCACGTAGTCAAAATCGCTGAATCCATTGTTTATGATGTGTTGATAAGAGTTTATGATTAACTGTAATATACTCCCTACAGAGCAACACGGATTTGTGCCTGGTAGGTCTGTTACTACAAATTTACTCTGTAGTCTTGAGGACTGGATCAAGACGCTTGATTCCGGCGAATCAACTGATGTTCTGTACTTGGACTTCTCGAAGGCCTTCGATCGAGTGCCTTTGCGACATCTTCTACTTAAACTCAACCATTTTGGCGTTCGTGGAAACCTTCTTCGCTGGATAGAGGCTTTTCTTTCTAATCGGTTGTTCAGTGTTAAAGTGGGTGACGTATTTAGTATGCAGAGAAGAGTGCTGAGTGGAGTCCTCAGGGATCGGTACTTGGGCCCCTTCTTTTTGTGATCTATACCTCCGGCATTAAATATTCTTTGAAATCCCCTTTTGTAATGTATGCGGATGACCTGAAGATCTGTAATAAGAGTTGCAATTTCACTGTTCTGCAAAATGACTTAGATGTGGTTGCCAATTGGTCGTGTACATGGTTGCTGCCTATTAACTCCGCAAAATGCGTCGTGCTATATACTAATAGTAGCCGAAATCCAAAACATGATTATCATGTGAATGGCACGCAACTGTTCAAGGTTGACGCTTATCGTGACCTGGGTGTAATGGTGTCATCCTCTCTCTTGTGGTCCGAACACATAGCTGAAGTAGTTAAGAAGGCGAATAGAATTATATTTCTTATTAGTCGGACGTTTAGGGCTATTACAATATCGATGTTCATCAATTTATATAAAACGTTAGTTCGACCAGTTCTAGAATTTGCCAATACTGTATGGGCACCGTCTCTGAAAGGCGATATTGCATTATTGGAGGGTGTACAGCGTCGTGCCACTCGTTTGCCGTTTGGGAGAGTTCGCCCTTCATATGAAGGGAGACTGGCCCTAATGCACTTACCTTCCTTGGCTGATAGAAGGGTAAGGGGGGACATGATTACAACATTTCAAGCGCTTACTAACAACAACTCAGTGATACGGTCCTTTTTTAAGCTAGACATGCGTGGTCGGACAAGGGGTCATTCCTTTAAATTAGTTAAAGGTAACTTTAAAACAACAGCTAAACAGATATACATTGTTAACAGGGTGTTTGGTAAGTGGAATTCTTTACAAACGGAGGTTGTGTTGAGTGACTCAGTTTTAAGTTTCAAACGTAGCTACGATCAGTATAACAAAGTGTAGGTATTAAAGATGCGCGGGCACAACAGGCTTAGGCCTCTGCCCGATCGCAGTTTCATAATAATAATAATAATAATAATAATCTTGCATCTAATTAATCAGTGACGCAGAAACGTGTGGACGGTGGTAATTTTTTTTTGTGAGATTTAAACATGAAAAAAGTTTTTTATGGTTTTCCGAGATAGACAGATTTATCAGATTTCTTTTGCATACTTTTCAAAAACAGCCTGTATAATCCTACCTTTTCAAAGACATGCCAAAGAGGAAGCTAACCATGTGCAAATACAAAATGGTTCATAAGCTCTGAAGAAAAGAGAAATTTAGATACTAAAAAAGAATAAAATTAATAATAATCGCTCAAACCGAGCTGCCGCTGTTAACCATTTAATTAAATCTGGAATAGGTGAACAAGAAGGAACAGAACATCAGAGTTCGAGTTCCATAAAGCCATATTTACAGTTAAACCAGGAATATCTTGAGAAAATAGCAAATAGGTCAGTTCCATTTGTCTTTCCCTATACAAAATTTCATCATTGTTATTTCATATTTATAAGTTAACATTTAATTTAATCATGGGAGGGGAAAATACAAATGAAATAAAATAACCAAAAGTCCCACGTATAAGAATTACTAAAACTCGTCTTACAATAGTTAGTTACATAAGACTCAGGAAAATGTTGCATTAGAAGGAGTCATATTGAAATACGTGGCACTTCGTGCCGAGTATCGGAAGGTTCCGAGTCAAGTGAAACATTTACTGACAAGTGCATGTAAGTATATTATTTTTTCTGAAATCGCAATTTATCGTAAAAATTTATTGTAAAACTTTTAAAGATAAAGATTTTCTATAAACACCTAGTAGTGCGGCTCACCATTGCTTTCGGTACTGAGGCGACCGAAACAATTCATCAAGTACACAAAAAAAAATGTAATTTTTTCGTAAAATCTGTGTTCGTAAAAAAGCAGTATATGCGAATCAAATAGTGAATCTGAAGATTCTGTCTACGTTCCATCCGACATCAATGCCATCACTAGTGTGATGCTAAATCCATAATTTTGTCAGTCTCAACACCATCTACAGCTGGTTTCAAAAAAAAAAAACGGGAAAAATGACAGTGACATGAACGTCATATTCCCATTGCTTTTCATTGATCTATGACAACCTGATTCGCTCATCTTTTCCCGTTTTATGTGAAACCAGCTGGAGTTCAAAGGTCAAAGCCACAAATGAACAATCAAATTCTAGTCAATCCAAATTGCCTGATAAAAAATTACCAGGTTTTAGTGGATCCTTTACAGAATGGGTGATACATACAACTCTTTAATTCATTGTAACGGGCGATAAATTTACTTATTTTTGGAGATGTTGATATGAATCAGAACAATCGTCATTGTCGTAAAAATCAAGGTTGTCCTTGTGAAACTTGGATTTTATGATTTCACACCATTCTAATCAAGGTTTATAATTTCACAGTTAAATATTGGCGCCGTTTAGCTGGACACGATGTCTTTGTCCAGTTTTATAATTTCATGGTTTAAATTTGTTAATTTTAACAAAAAGCACATTTTGCCACTAAAAATCTTCATATTACAGTTAATTAAGCCTAATTTGGTGGAAACACAAATACTTTTACGACACCCCAAATAAACTGGTAACTTGTAAACAATTTTGCGAAAACAACTCCTTTGGAGGGGTCTTTACTTATAAAAGATCGAAAGATCCAAAAAAGACCAGAGTCCTCTAGCCAGTTGCCTGTTTAGTGTGTGTTTGTGTTGTGACACAAAGGGGTAAGTGTTAAAATCTCCAACAATGTGCACGATTTCATAAAAAGTTCAAAGTTTTGTTTTTATTAATATTTTTAAAGTTCAGTTTAAATTTGATGATAAATCGCCCTTTGTATTCTCGATTGGATAACGTTTTGAGATTTATATCTATTTTTAAAGATTAATTTGCATTGAAATTATTAGTTAAACAGTTATATTGTTTGATGAACGCTGACCACGCAACTACTATAATGTTCCTTACCAAATTTTTGAGTTGTTACCAAATTTTGAGTTGTTACCAAATTTTGAGTTATGGTACCAATTTTGAGTTTTGTTATATTTTTGTTTTAGATTTTTTTAAATGATTGTTTTATTATGCTTTCAAAGATTTAGTTTCAAAGTTACAAAGTTTTCTTGAATTTATTTAAAAATGTTTTAATACTGAAGTTCATTTTCTGATAATTATATTTGCATATTAAACTACACTACAATTTATTGTTATACCAAATTATTCTCATATGACTAAATCTCTTTTGTACATACTCATTTCTAAATTAAATATAATTATTCATTTAAGCAAAATGCATATACTTGAAGTAGTCCCTTTGTCCAGTCACTAGAATGTGTTACCATCATCACGAACCAGCCTACGAACAAATAAATAATATTTTCACTATATGTCGGGCACAAGGTCCACGACAAGAGTTTTACAGTTTTATATATAATAAATTAACAAAAGTTAATTTTGAAAATCTCCCAAGCCCGTCACATCATGACAATCTTAGCAAAACTTTAAAATTTCATTATTTGCGCTCTAGTTTCATCCACTGAAAACTAGTTATAATTCAGCTTGGGAATTAATAAAAAAGCGGTACGAAAATTTAAGATTAACTTGCCAACATCATATCCTACGTGCTCTTTTTTCGTTACCTTCAATAAATCACAAAGATCCTAAACCTTGCAACAGCTTCTAAATATTGTCACAACAAATATTAAGCTCTAGATGCAATTCAACGTCCCGTTGACAAATGGGATGACATCATAATTTATTTAATAATATCAAATTTTGATAACGCGACAACTGCAGCGTGGGAGGCAACACTTTCTGGTAATATACTTATTACGACTAAAATGGATGCCTTTTTAAAACAGAGATATCAAATAACTGAATCGCTAAACATTGCAAACTTTTCAGATAGCAAAGGTACAATAAATCATTTGAATAAATCAACCAACCGAAAATATCAGCAAGAATATAGGGGAAATATAAGCCAAACAAAGAAAAAAGACATTGCGCTAAATCAGTAGGACCTATATATTAATATCAGTGTCAAATTAAGATACGAAATAAAGATGCCTGTCATTTCACAGTGTAACTCAATAGACATTTTTTTAATAACGACGATGTTTATAGCGAATTGTGGAGTTAATGAGCTGGACGACTCCTCCGTGAATGTGTTCTTCTCTGGTAAAGTAGTCAGCAAGTTCAAGATCACCGATGCGAACGAGTTCCACCTTAGAGGTATCTAGCAAATGATACACAGAATACTAACCCCAGATGCTGCCAGTTGAGCATCTACTAAATTAATCTTATTACGTAAGCTCTGAATATTGGTGTAGGGACAAGACTGGTAAGAGTACGTGCCAGCTAAGAGTACGCATTGCCATTTTTAAAATAATCACAAACTTGTAGTTGTATGCAAACCGGTAAAAAGGTAAGTTATCTGTTATCTATTAACTACACAAAAACAGAGTTAAGTATGATGCTGCCAGGAAGGCGATTCAGAGACAAACAAGAAAAGCATTAGGAACAGCATGGGCATCGGAAACTCCTCATAAGCGTTGTACAAATTCAAACTGACGAAACTTGTCATACGACTGATAGAGGTGAATCTGAACTTTGCTTTGGGACTCCGGAAAAGATGATCCTAGTCGAATAATTCTGTTCTCGGTATTTTAGAAGAATTTAGAAACTGGTGTGTCGATGGAACATTCAAAATCGCACCCAGATTTTTTTTACAAGCATTTACTGTACATGCATTGATTATGGATAATAATGATGTGCGGGGTGTAGTCATTTTGGTGTAACAAGCGTCAAGAAACCTATTGCAACCAAATATACGCGCCAACGTGACAAACTGAGAACTTTAGCGAAATAATACACTTTTGGCAGAGTACTGTTTAAAGTTTGTTGCTTAAAATTTGTCTTTGTAATTATTATATTAGCAGTACTACAAACATAAATTAAGAACGTTTTTAATAATCTGTTTAAAACCACTGCGCTGTTGTTGACGCACTCATTTGTTCAGGCGCTCTTTCGTACTACCTACGTTCTTTTGTCGAACCTTGTTTCGGTCTGCTCTGCTGTTTTGTCCATGTACTTTTTTGTCTCGGCACTATTAT